CCTCTGGAGAGGAAACCTAGATGAAGTGACTGTGCAGTGCTGTACACATATGCATTGTAGCCTGGGACTCCAGAGCCATGCTATGAATAGCGCCTTTCATCTGTAGACCTAGCTGATAGCTAATTAACTCTAATTAATCCCTGCGTGTATGGGGAGCAGGGAAGACATACCTAGGGAGATGTCAGCCCTGCCATGCTGTCACCTCCAGGATGGAGGATCCATTGCTTGGTGTGTATTCCCTTCAGGGATGCAAAGTGCTTTGGGGGAAAGGTGTCAAAACTGCAAGGACACTCCTGAGGTTGAGCAAGAGCTCGGTGCTGTGAGCACGGGGCCCGCCTGGTTTCAGTTTAACATCCCTTTTCTCCTGAACTGAGGAGATAATTTTCCCCCTAAATGCCAGTGTAGAAACTCAAGGCTGTGACATTCAGAGTGCTGGGCTGAGGAGAGCAGAAGTTCCTCCCGGCCTGGATCGTTGCTCTGGTGCGGACCAGTAGCAGATGTCGGGGAAAGAGGACGAGAAACGGTGAGTAACCTCCCCGCTAACGTATGTGTGCAGCTTCCAGCAATGAAGACAGAAGTACACATCTGGTTACCATGTTCAATCCCAAGACCTGTCCTGCATGAATTTACCTCATCCCTTTTTTTTTAAATCCATTTAGATTTTGAGGCTTACTATCCAGTGGTGATAAATTGCACAATTTAGTTTTACGCTGGTGAAGAGGGAATAGTTTTGTCTCAAGCCTGCTGACTTGTTTTATGAGCCTGGCCCTGGTCCTTGTTGGGAGAACAACTACTCCAGAGTCACCTTCTCTACAACAGGTGTAATTTTACAGTGGCCGTTCTCATGGGAAATCGTAGCCCATCTGGCCACCCATCATCCCCACAGGCAGCGTCCTAAGCACGGCTCCAGAATCCTCGGCAGACCTGGGCACCACCGGCTGCCATGCCCTCCCTCGGCTCCCCTGGCTGAGTGCTCTCAGGGCTTGACAAGGGGAGATAACATTTTTAGTAGCTTCTCTTCCTTGTTTTTGTGGCTTAAGTAGAAACATTAATGTCTAATTTAAAGGGTACATTTTACAAGGTTATTTATGGAAGCAATAAGGTTTTTTTCCTCCTGTGTTTTTCATGAAAGAAGCTGGCAAGAGCTGAAATCTTTTACCTTGTTGCTATAACAGCAAAATATTCACTCTCAGGCTTGGAGCTTCACTTTAAATAGTCTCTCCTTTTTGTTTTCTATTGTTTTTTGGGGTTTTTTTGTTTGGTTGGTTGGTTGGGGTTTTTTTTCTTTTTTAGGAAGGCATTTAATATCCAATGAATAAACCAGCAGCAGTTTCTCCCTAGTTGAAGTGAAGGATACCAGACCTACAAAGAAAGCAAAGGGGGAACCCCTGGTCTCTTGTGCACCTCCACAGTGAGAGGAGTGGGTCCTGGGACTGGCCAGAGCAGCAGGCGAATCCCCTCAACCCATTATGCTGGTAAAGAGGTGGCATTAACCGTAGACCATTCTGCTTTTAGCTCTGTGCTGTTGTTTCTACCGTTGAAAGCAGCCCTGCTCACACAGGAAAGCAGCTCTCTGTGGGTGCTGCTGTTTGGCAAACTCCAAAGTAGCCGTGGGCTAGGAGAAAGGATGGGGTCTGTGGTGGCTCTGCAGGTTGGGTGGCCTGGGGAGCGATGGGTGAGAGCCGGACGGCAGCTTTGAGGACGAACACGGTGCCCTGCTGCGTGCAGGCAGGGTGGGAGCCGGCTGCCCATGTTGTGATGGGGGGAGTGATGGGATGGGCAGGTCTGGGGGAGCTCTCCTGTCCTGGTTTTGGCTGGGATAGAGTTAATTTTCTTCCTAGTAGCAGGCATAGTGCTGCGTTTTGGATTTAGTAGAGAAGAATGTTGATAACACACTGATGGTTTGGTTGTTGCTCAGTACTGCTTATGCCAGTCAAGGACTTTTCAGCTTCCCATGCTCTGCCAGGGGCACAAGAAACTGGGAGGGGGCACAGCCAGAAGAGCTGATCCAAACTGCCCAAAGGGCCATTCCATACCATACGGCGTCATGGGCAGTATGGAAACTGGGGGGGGTTGGCCAGGGAGCAGCGATCGCCGCTCGGGAACTGGCTGGGCATCAGTTGGCGGGTTGTGAGCAATTGCATTGTGCATCGCTTGCTTTGGATATTGTTATCATCATTCTTATATTGTTATTATTCTCAATACTATTTTACTTTATTTCACTTATTAAACGGTTCTTATCT